ATGAACAGGAACTGATGGCAGGATTTAAAAGATGAGAATGTCTAAGCAGGAAATTTTCAAAGCAAGTGGAAACAGAAGTTGAGACTAGGAGTAGGCTCTGGGATCGCACTGGAAGAAGGATCACTGGCGGGGTATAACGGAGAAGGTGACGTAAGCTGCAGAGGATTCTGGGGATCCCACATTCCCGCTCTACTACAGAGGCTCCTGGGAACCACACACTCTGCAAATCTGAGATCATACTGTCACGGGCAAACAAACACCAGCTGACAAGCCCCGGGACAGCCTTACGAAAACAGCTCATCATGCCGGCCTTTAAATCCACATCAGACCCTTTCTTCTTTGTTTACTCTGCTTAGGAATGTCCTAGTTACTCTAAATCTTGCTGACACAACATAGTAAGAAATGATTTTAAAAAAAAGTGGCAAGGTAAATATCAATTAGGGGTTGTGGCTTGCTAAAATTCTAAATCCTCACAGGATGCCACAGAGAAAGAACACACATTCTTGAACCACTATATTCCCTTGAAAAAGTAGTGAGCATTTGAAAATGTCTTACTTAAAACTTTTATAGAGTTTTAGACTGTAATCTACAAATTCCTGAACTGGAGAGAAGCACCTGTAGTTGACCTGAAGAAGCAAACATAGCAACTGTAGCAGCCACAGGACTGGAAAGTCACAGGTCCCTAAGATCCTCGAGAAGAGCCTCTAGATCCCAGGCTGCACACAAGCATGGTTAGAATTTTAAACCATGGAAACTGTGAGATAAGAGTATTGTTAAACATGTATGTAAGCCAACCATGACATGAACTTTGTCAATACAGATGGGCAAGAACATCACCCACCATGATCCTGCACTGATTCGGCAATCACTTCTAAATTCTTCCTCACCTCTCTTTATACACAGTACTCAATGGATCATGAATATAGGCATACAATTTTAAAAATTTAATGTATTATGCCTACATCTTCTATCAAGAATGTGTAAAAAAATATCAATTAGTTTACTGTTGTTGTACATGAATCTAGCTTCCAAAGTTCTACCACTGTAAGTGAAACACTGCCATCAGTGTGGGCGTGTGTAAAGTCATATTGTGAATTAGTCCAGGAGAGGAGGCGATCTGGTAAATTATGTATCTCTAAGCAAAGTGTACTCCCTCTCTAAGCCAAATTCAACGATAGAATACTCAAAGCACCGATTTTACCACCTTCTTTGCAGTGTCATTTTTTTTAAGCTGAGAAATGATTTTTTTTGAAATTGATCAGAACAAATTTAAACATTTCTTTGAATTTCTCAACTTAATTTTATCTTCAACTGTCTGACCTCTAAGACGATCACTATTTATATAGAACAGAGTATGCATTATAGAACATTGATATGAAAATAAACCACAATTATTTACATGAAAACATTTGTATGACTGTGATCCCAGCACCCAGAAGGCAGAAGTATAGGGATATCTAGTTTGAGGCCTGGGTTACATAGTGAGACCCTATTTCCAAAAAAAATAAAAGGAAGAAAAGAAGGAAGACGGGAAGGAAGAAGAGGGGAAATGGAAGAGGAGATGGTGGAGGGAGAGGAAGAGGAGGAAGACCACACCAGTGTCCCAGCACCAGCACCCCAGCACCAGCACCCCAGCACCAGCACCCCAGCACCAGCACCCCAGCACCAGCACCCCAACAGCAACAGCAGCACCCCGGCACCAGCACCAGCACCAGCGCCCCACCATCAGCACCCCAGCACCAGCATCAGCACCCCAGCATCAGTACCAGCACCCCAGCACCAGCACCCCAACACCAGGACCCCAGCACCAGCACCCCGGCATCAGCACCCCAGCACCAGCAGCCCAGCACCAGCACCCCGGCATCAGCACCCCAGCATCAGCACCCCAGCATCAGCACCCCAGCATCAGCACTAGCACCCCAGCACCAGCACCCCAACACCAGGACCCCAGCACCAGCATCAGCACCCCAGCACCAGCACCCCAGCACCAGCATCAGCACCCCAACATCAGCACCCCAGTATCAGCACCCCGGCATCAGCACCCCAGCACCAGCACCCCAGCACCAGCACCCCAGCATCAGCACCCAGCACCAGCATCAGCACCCCAACATCAGCACCCCAGCACCAGCCTGACATCTAGCAGTTAGTTGCTCATCGTTTTATTTAAATGACTGAGTGGTAAGTTGTACAGACACAGAACAGCCAGCAATACAAGATCTGTGTGGAATGCAAGGAATAGAACTCCCAGGGAGGGAGGAAGGGGAAAGGTGTGTGGGGAGTTCTAGACAATATCCAAAAGATGGCATATTGGTCATAAAAAAGAAAATCTGCCCCTGCCTATCTTTTCCCATAGCCCTTGTTTGAGGACACACTGCACAAAGAGGGCTCAGGCTGTTGCGCCATCTCACTGAGCTGTGACATGAACTGCTTCTGTGTGCGTTACGTGCTTTGTCCCTCATACAAATGGTAGACGGTCTTTTCTCTGAACCAGGGATGTGAGCAAGAGAACAGGCTCACAAAGAGCTCACTCCACACTCTAGCCACCATTCTTTTATTTTTTTTTTTCAAGACAGGGTTTCTCTGTGTGGCCCTGGCTGTCCTGGAACTCACTCTGTAGACCACCTGGCCTCAAACTCAGAGATCCACCTGCCTCTGCCTCCTGAGTGCTGGGTGGGATTAAAGATATGGTCCACCACTGCCTGGCTCTAACCACCAATCCTTTTCTTTTTCTTTTACAAAACTTATAGTTTCATTGTATGACATCTTTCTCAATATTGTTATAGATTCCATTTGCTAGCTTCAAATTTCAGATATTATTATTTTTTATTGATTTTTATTGAGCTTTACATTTTTCTCTGCTCCCCTCCCTGCCTCTCCCCTCCCCCAAGGTCCCCATGCTCCCAATTTACTCAGATCTTGTCTTTTTCTACTTTCTACTTCCCATGTAGATTAGATCTATGTAAATCTATCTCTCTTAGTGTCCGCATTGATGCCTAAGTTCTCTGGGATTGTGGTTTGTAGGCTGTACCTATGACTGAGTACATGTGATAATTGTCTTTCTGGGTCTGGGTTACCTCACTCAAAAAAATGTTTTCTAGCTCCATCCATTTTCCTGCAAAATTCAAGATGTCGTTATTTTTTCTGCTGTGTAGTACTCTATTGTGTAAATGTACTACATTTTACTTATCCATTCATCAGTCGAAGGGCATTTAGGTTGTTTCCAGGTTCCGGGCTATGACAAACAATGCTGCTATGAACATAGTTGAGCACATGTCCTTGTGGCAGGATTGAGCATCCTCTGGATATATACCCAGAAGTGGTATTACTGGGTCTTGAGGAAGGTTGTTTCCTAATTTTCTGAGAAATCACCACACTGACATCCAAAGTGGTTGTACCAGCTTGCATTCCCATCAGCAATGCAGAAGTGTTCCCTTTCCCCCACAACCTCTCCAACATAAGCTGCCATCGGTGTTTTTGATTTTGGCCATTTTTACAGGTGTAAGAGGGAATCTCAGAGTTGTTTTGATGTACATTTCTCTGATGACTAAGCAAAGAAAAGCCAGTGCTACTTTATTCTTTGAGAAGAAAGCAATTATCTGGGTGAGGGAATGGGAACTACTGTAAACAATTACCTTACAAAATTGCTACAAACCAAAAACTTACCCTTCATCTACTAGGTATGTGGGGCAAAAACAGTTTGGTTTACAACTTGTAAGTTTAAGTTGACTTCTATTGATCCCAATGAGAGAACCTATAAAGGGGGTGAATTTGATTCTAAACTTCCGTTTCTGATAAAATATCCTGGGGCTCTTCTGATAGTCTCTTCTGATAATATCTCAAACCACGGTTTAGCAAAGCTGAAGAAAATAAGAGTCAAGAGGGAACTAACTCCATTAGCTTCTCCCCAGCCCGCGATGCCAAGGGCTCCTGTCTGAAGTAGAAACCCCAGGAAGGCGGGTCTTCCTGTACACATCATCAACTGAGCCTCCAGCAGTGGTTATAATTTACTCAGGAAAAACAGGTAGTCAAACATTGGTCAAGACCCCTGAAAGGCATCCAGAAAACTGCTTGCTCACTCCACACAGCCCGAGGGTCATGTGGAAGCACCATGAGCCCTTGTGAAAGAGAGCTGCCCGTCCAAACTCAGTTTGCTTGTCCTTTAGGAAAAGCAGTGAGACAGACCAAGGGACAAGGGTTGAAAAACCAAATACAGGGTAATGTAGAACCCAAAGTCAAAGGCCTATGATACAAATCCTCCCAGGAGCAGCTTTCTGTACAGGAGAAAATTGATGATCTCGAACATTTGAAAAATTATAAAGTGTGCCAATGTGAAGTTTTCCTGGTGAATACAACACTTCTCACACTGAAGAGTGCCTTCTCAACAAGTACCAGGCTAGCCCACACTAAGGAGTGTCTTCTCAACAACAATGCCAGGCTAGCCCAGTTTTCTTCTACAGTTCTTTTCCAGAACTCCAACATCCTTCCATCTAACAGTCACTCAGCAATGTGCAAAAGTTTATGAACCCGATTCCCCCACGGAACACTGGGCTAGTGCTTTAAAGGCAGGGCTGCTTTCTTTCCAAATGTTCTTGGAGGAAGGGAGGAAGGGCGGGCGGGAGGGAGGGAGGAAAAGAGGGAAGGAGGGAGGAAAGAAGGGAGAGATACAGGCAGGCAGGAAGGAAGGAAGGAAGGAAGGAAGGAAGGAAGGAAGGCTCTCTTCTTCTGTACTTTAATCTCGAATATTAAAGAGCCCATGTAGAGTCCTGGCCACTAACTGCCGAATGATAAATCACTTGCTACAACCACTGAATGAAATGAGAAGGCACATGTGTAAAGAGTCACTTCAACATAATTATTTTCTCAACTGCAACATTATTTTCCCAAGTTACCATGTGTTTAACAGTATCATTGGGAAAAAATAAATCAAGACTATCTTAATCCATTCAGGCATCAAAATACTTAACTATTCTTTTACTGCTGTGCATAACAAAATGGTTTACCTTCCAGCATTTTCTGAAGACTGTTCCTCATGACATGGATGTTCTCTATCCCGATAAACTGAAACTTGATATTGGAATAATTGTCTTCATTCTCATAGCCTTTCCCTGCAGCACGATTGGCCATTGCATTAAGCTGCAATGGTCAGCAAAACAAAATAGGCATCAATTACATTCAGGACATGGAACAACCAACACATTTCCTGGACACTAATAAAAACATTGCAAAGCTGTATAGACACACAATGCGGTTTAAATCTCTGGAACACTGTGCTGGGCTTTCATGGCTGCAAGCACAAAGGCTCAGCTATGATCAATAGCACTCATGTGCTGGTCTGGGTAACATTTCCTTAGTTGGGAAATATTCCCTAAGTCCTCATGGAGATGCCTGTGCCAGTTCTGACGCCAGTGCTGGCCTGATATGGAAGTCTGTGGCAGAACCAACTCAACACTATACATCAGAACTTGCTGACAGGCAGAAGAATATCCGCAGAGACGTCTATCAATATATAGCTCTGCCAGAACCGTAACACCAACAAACATGTCATCAGGGAGAAATGTTACTTCTAATTTATCAGTTGACCCTTCAGCAGGAATCGATAAACCAAAGGGAGAATGCTGATAGCCGGGCTGAAGGGACGGACGCTTCTTCCACTTGGCTTCTTCAAATCTCTATGGCTAATGGAGGGGGTTTTGTCACTTTCAGAACCGTAATTTTGTAGATAGAACATTGGAATTTCAGTGTAAACTGGGTTCAATGCTAATGGACTCTGAAGAAACTGAATAAGCCCAAACTAACCCTGTGCAGTATAATCAAGCAGATGAGTCCTGCCCTAGGTGGGAAACAGAATTCTCACGGGAATATAAGACTGGAAATGCTCTTCTCTTGCAGCTTGACTGAGCAAGCTGTCACTTACAAAGAACAGTGTTCCACTGACCATTCTCTTTTTTGGGCCACAAAGGTTAGGGAATAGGGGTGGTGGTGGGGAAGACCTGCTTTTAAGAATACAGCACAAAGTAGTACTTCAAATGGTTCAGTTCAAAAAACTAAGTTAAGTTAAAAATACCCTGGCCCAGATCTTCTAGTAACAAGATTAAAGGTCCCAGCACATACAGATGAAGAATGCCTGCCATGATGTTTTTGTAAACACGGAAGCTGCACACCTATGAGTATCTCATCAGAGTGGTAACTGGACAAACCAAGCATATACATGGAATACAGGCAGGCATCAAAGACATGGACCCCAATCTTTCTACACATCATACACCTACATGTACATACGTGTAAGCTAAAGAGTGTTCATGCAACCACCTACTGTTAATAAACTTACTGATTGATTTATTCACTTTCCTTATGAAGAATTAAAATCACAGGTGACAACTTCAGCAGAAAGAGATGGCAAGCTACAGGGGAACATTATCAACAATGCTTCAGATGCTCTTGTAGCCTTCCACGGTTACAGGAAGCATATATTAAGTCTGGATCATAAGTCACAGAAATGAGGTCATAAGGAAGGAAACAGAATACAGCCCCTGCCACGGGAGTCCCTGCTTCAAGAGCAAGTCGGGCTCCCGCTCTCTCAGTTCAGCTCCTCTGTCATCTGTGGGGCCTGTCAGCTCTTCAGACAGCTGATCCCAGTCTGCAGAAGCAGGCCACCAGTCCTAAGAGCACAGGCTTCAGCCTCAACCAAGAAAAACTTAAATCTTAAGAGATACTGTATGTTCATCCTTTAAAAAGTTCTAATATCTCATGAGACATTTCTTCTTCTAGAAATTACACACACGTGCTGCTCTCGTGTAATTGTGTACTATAAAAAAAATCACTGCTTTATGTAATTATTTTCAGGGCTGTTGGCTAAAACTTTGTAATAAGTTTCATAAAATGCAACAAATTAACAGGATCCATACAAGAAGCTTCATGTTCGTACACTTACTCTGCATCTGAGTTCAAGTCAACAAATTAACAGGATCCATACAAGAAGCTTTATGTTTGTACACTTATTCTGCATCTGAGTTCAAGTCAAGTCTCCTCACCACATATCCCCTCCTCTTCTAAAAACAACAATCATGTTATTACATATACAATGTATGCTCAGACTTTAAAATAATTAAGAAGCTACAAAGGAAGAACCGACTGGTAGTCTTCCTGACTGGCACACTGGAGGAAGCATTTTGAAAGTCAATGTGTACTTCACACAACAGACAGAAGGTGGCAATATTTAATCTATCATACAGACAATTTTTTTCAGGAGCAGCACTTATTTTCAGCAAAAGCTGAACTCTCAAAGCAGAAACACAGTCCCCAAAGTAAAGTAAACAGAGACTGAGGATGTAGCTCAATAGCAAAGTACTTGAAGTCACAGGTTCAATCCCCAGCACTGAAAAAGGAAAAAAAGGAAGAATCAGCAGTGAGAAGTGGAGAGAGCATGTGCTGCCCAGGAGCCCCATCAGTTACAGACACATGTTGGCACCTCACTTATGGCCACACTCGACACGCAGTTTACAAAGGAGACTAATGATTGGCTGACCAACTGGTCACATGAGTATGAGGTAAGAGGTGATCAAGCCCAAAATAGAAGGAAACACAATCAGATTCTGCACCACCCCATGAATCACATCCATGAGTCCCCAGTGAGTGCTGGTCTGGAGAGCCAGCTGAAGGAAGGCCTAATCCCCACCCTAGCCTAGGAGTCCAGGACCCTACCAGTTACACTGTATGCCCGAATCATGGCAAAGCCTGAGCTCAGAGTTGAACGGGAAACCACAGCGAAGCTGACTTTAGCAGAAGAACTGGGCCAAAGACTGAGACAGGTTGTCAAAGGATGGTCCTCTCCTCCCCTCATCTTCCTATGACCTCTAACTTTAACTGTGGCATACTCATGGAAATGCTAGATGGTTCTACTGCCTACAAATACTGTCTACAGATGAGCTTGTCAACTTCTTCCCCTCCCCACCTAGAGGCTGCTTGTGCATATTTAAGAGGACCAGGATTATACTGAAGCAGGAATCTTGATTCAGGTTAATTCACCTTTCAACCCACATATGATGTGAAACGGTCTTTTTCCCTATCTACAGGCTATGTGGACTGAAGAATGCTTTTCTCCGGGACTCTGCCCCTCCTGTGCTTTCTGCCAGGCTCACCTTTTCTGTGTAGTTGGTAGAAGGGGCCCCATGGAATGAAAGCACTTAGATAAATAGCTCTCTGCAAAGCTAGGCGATTACAGTTGTCTTACTGCTTCACAGTGCTTCTCTGGTGAATCCTCATTGACCATCTCTGCCTTCTATTAGCATGGGTATCCAAAGGGTGACTTTCTGAAAGCACACACGTTGGCTTCCATTCCACACATGGAAGATCCACGATGGGAAGAGCCCATTCCTGCAGCCCTACCAGCACACTTGCCCAGAGCCCCTCACTGGGGAACCTTCAGTGCAGGGAAGTTGTCTCAGCAAGGTTTGATCAAGCTTGCTCAGGTCTGACCTAAGCCAAAGGACATTGCTCCATCCATTCATGGACAAAGAATAGGAGTGATGACTGTCCTTGCCTGCCACAAAACACAATGGCACTCTCCCATTCTCCGTCATCTGTCACTGGCCCTGCAAGGCAGAGGCATATATGACCAGGAAGTATGGTCCCACCTGTTAGACACCCCTAATCTTCACAGCTGTGTCTTGAAGATGCCACCTGCATGGAACCCAGTAAACAGACACTATCTCATCTCCAGAGAAAGAGAAACACCCCATGACTCTGTTACACAATAAAATAACCACAGATGCAGTGATGCTAAGCAGTCTCTGGAGCCGGAGCGTGACACAGGCTGATCTCAACCTCACCCCAGTATGCAGGACTCACTTCCTCCACAGCTGCTAGGTGGTCAGGGCACAGTTCAAAGGCCCTTCCTGCTCCTTTGGCCTTGAAGTGATTTTGGCTGAGCTTGGGGCTGGCTCTTCAGCTGTGTCTCTGGTTCCACTGGGTGTGTGGCCAACTGAGGTGGGAAACCTCTATAGTGTCCTGAAGTGGAGATATCGTCCCACTAGAGAGGATTTTAGTAAACAGAAGAGACACTGTCTTTGGAGCCAAATAAGCTTGTATTTGACTGAATGCAGTCTCAGCCCTAAACTGTGTGATATTGGTGAATTATTTAACCTCTTTAAAGTTAAGCCCTTACCCAGGGAAAGAAAAGAGGTCTGCTAATCTGCAGGATTCTTACAAGAATTAAATAAGAAAGCGCTTAACACTCTTGCAAGCTCATCAAAATCTGATAAATTTTGAAATCCGAACATCTGATACAGTCAAGGACAAGGCTGCGATGTGATAGAACACTCCTTGTTTGAGACCTCAGCAAATACTGTTCTGATACATTTAGATTTCAATGCACCCATCGCTAGGAGCAGCAAGTGGCCCCGAGGAGACTCTGGACAATACATACTTGAGGATGTCACGGCCTCTGCTGCCCATCACTCTCAAAGCAGCAAGCAGTTCAGAAGGCTTTCATCTGAGTGGGTGGCTTGGGAAATTCTTGTGTGGATTTAGCCTTGCTCAAAGGCCAAGGATCAGGATCCTCTGAGCAGCCTCCTGAGCCTTTCTCTGTATACTAGGGAGTAAATCCGAGTGCAGGGACAAGGACCTAGGGAATGCTTGCACGTCAGTACACAAACCTTTCCTGGCTACCTAGGATGCCTAACACACTCGGGGTGGGGGTGGGGATCAACCAGCATAGTTATGGTCCTTAAAACAAAAAAAAAAAAAAGGAAGAAAGAAAGCTTAAAGCAAATGGTTTAAAAACCGTGTGTGTGTGTGTGTGTGTGCCTGGATTATATGAGAAGATACCTAACTTTATTTAATGGATGAGAGTCAAACTTCTTATCACTAGAATAAACAGAGTGAGTACTAAATATACCCTTCACATCAAATCCTGAGGATTAATTGGCTTTAAATACAGACTAGGCCTGGCCCTGCAGCTGCCACACTCTGGGGAAGGCATATACCACACAGCCAACTGGATCACTGGCTCTTCAGTTAGCAGGTCTATCTGTTTATCTTTGTGTAAAGCTGGAAAAGCAGGGTAGGAGACGGATTTCCAGTTTTCACTCAGTAAAGCCTCAGCTTCCCTCCCCATCCTGAGTCTGGCTGCAGAATATCATCTAAGAAGTACAAACTCTCAGAGAACGCAGAAGACACAGGGTGTGGGCAGGAGGGTGGTCAGGGTCAGAGGAAGGGGTCCAAGTCTGATTCAGACAGAAAGGCACAAACTGAAAAGCAACAATAGAAGTTTAAGGCTTTTTCACATCCTCCAAGTACAAACCTCCTAGCATCTTCTTCCCTGGTCTGGAGATTCTGTCTGTGTTGTGCAGTGAAAGTTTACTAGAAAGGCAGAGACCTGGTACATATGATGTGGCAAAATGGGAAGACTATGTCTATAAATACCTACGACTTCGCCACGAAGCGCCTACTCAGAATGGTTCAACTTTTAAACTGACTTGAGCTGTTAGTCTATTTTCTCTTTCCTATGTCAAGCTTTTATTCCCTTGTGTTTGTTTTAAAATAGCATAGCTGACATTTACATGTCATACAACTTACCCATTCAGGGAGGCAATCTGTAAAACTAAACTGCACCCATTTACTGTGTGGTCAGCACAATGTGAAAACAAGGGACATAGAGATGCACCGAACACAGCCAATCCCCTTCAGAAGCTGACACACGAACAGGGCAGCCCCTGGTATCCCACGGGCTGACCATGCCAAGAACAACACTTTGAAGATGAAGCAACCGGAGCCAGGAACTGTTGTAGAACATTATTTTAAGGTGTGTTACTTTTGTTTACGCTCTGAAACATGTTTAATGATGCAAAGATGTATTTGATTAAATAAAATTCACCTGTGGTCAAGAGGCTGCATCAGCAACTAGCTGAAAGGAAGTGGCAGGGAGAAGCCAGGTGGAGAAGGGTTTTTACAGAGGGGCGAGAAGCAGCACAGGGCTTTTGGGGAGACACAGGAGGTGAGCTGCTTGTTATTCAGCCTCTCTGAGGAGCAGAATTACACCTCAAACCTTGAATCTTAAGTTCATTAGATGGACAGAGATTTAGTTAAGTTCCCTTCTTAGCTTTGAAAGAGTCAGTACCTGAAGAAACAGAATTATCTTAGGCTGTGGCCTAACCAATGTTGATAGCAGGGGGTAATTGCAGTTGCTGATTTGGACAGCCATGGATTAAAAGGCAGCAACAATTTTTAAAATGACAGCAAGGAATGTTATCAGTTAAGCTTTGGTTCGGTCCAGCCTTGGGACTCAGGGCTGCAGAGACAGACATGCATGAAAATGTTGACACTTACTTTGGGTCGCGTGTCCACAACATAAATGAAGTCACTTCCGGGATTGGCTTTCCTGATGGCTTGGAGCATCTGTTCATCCTCCAGACACCGAGCGCTGAAGCCAGAAAGGGGCTGGCTGCTCCTGCAGATGGAGGCCTGCAGGAAGAGGCCACAGCAACACAGTGACATCAGAGAGGCTTCAGGACCATCCCAAAACAAGGAGTCCTTGGTTAGCCTGCACCCCACACCAATGTTGGAAATAGGATTAGACTTTGTGGAAATTTGAATCAAAGTCGAAGACCCTCTACATGGGCAAGCTTTCTGTGTTAAGACCTTAGGAATGTGTGAAGATGTTTAGATGGGATCCAAATCATGAAACCTAAAGCTATTTAAGCAGCCTATTTTTCCTTTTCAATATTGTCTCTCTGCACTGCTGAAAGTGGAATAACTACTCTCCTGAAATTTATAAGACACTATTAATGGCAAGACTGGGAAAAAAATTTAGTGTTTTAAAAAAAAATTTAGTGTTTTTTATCATTTTCTATCCTAGTCTATTTAAAAGATCATGAGCACCCAAAATCATTTCTAATGGTCACGTTTTCCCAGTAATGAAAGCCCACGTCACTATTAGGTTTGCTCAGTAACAGTGTTTAGAAACAAGAACTTTCTTCAGTCTCAGCATGTCCTGACATTTCCCTGACCTTAAATTCCAACATCATACAACCATCCTTCCATTTCCCAGGTCCTGCACTGGTGGGTTTAACCAGCTGTGGCTTTAAACAACCGTGGATCAAAAGTATTCAAATAAAAAGTATTGAACCAGCCAGGCGGTGGTGGCGCACGCCTTTAATCCCAGCACTTGGGAGGCAGAGGCAGGCGGATCTCTGTGAGTTCGAGGCCAGCCTGGACTACAAGAGCTAGTGCCAGGACAGGAACCAAAAAGCTACGGAGAAACCCTGTCTCGAAAAATCAAAAAAAAAAAAAAAGTATTGAACCATATTGAATACATTTAGACTTTTTTGTCACCTATTCCTAAACAGTCCATCATAGCAAGTATTTACTTCGGGTATTTTAAGCAACCGAAAGCCAATGCAGAGAGGGTGAGCAGTGTACATGCAAACACTAGTGTTGTAGAATATTATTTTAAGGTGTGTTACTTTTGTTTATGCTCTAGGACATTAGTTTAATGATACAAAGATGTTTTTGAACAAATAAAATTCACCTGTGGCCAGGAGGCTGCGTCAGCAAATAGCTGACAGGAGTTATAGGGAGCAGTCAGGTGGAGAAGGTTGTAAGTAGGGGTGAGAAAAAGCACATGGACTCCTTGGTACTAAGTCATTTATGAGTTTTGTTCCCTAAAAGTTTATGCTGTGAATTTAGGAGACCATATTGTACATAATTTAAAGCAAAATAACTCTTAAAAACACATAACTCTTCAACAACAAACATACCCAGAATGCTGCTCATAAGTAAGTCTCTAACCATGACCTGCAAAGCTGCTTGATTTCAAAGGGAGTCTGCGTGATGGTGAGCTCCGCAAGGCCCATGTACAGAAACAGGATTAAAATTAATGTCATGGGATGCCTTGATATCTGGCAAAACCAAGAGACCCTAATGCAAGCTCTCTCCACACACTGCTCCTACTGATAAGGACCCTGTCACCTAAGTCTCCTGACGTAACAGCCTGTGGCAGCTCGTGGTCACTGAAGTATGGGGTCTTAGTTTTCCTCCAGCCTATGACAAATCAGTTAAACCTCCAGTAGGTACAGGAACAGCCTCCCTGTCACGATACTGCAAGGCCTGACCCCCCCTCCCCCAGCACCCCATTTTCACCCCTCCCTGTGCAACCACAACATGGCCCTTATTCAATGGCTAGGTTATTACAATCAAAAAGAACATGGAAAGCCAAGAGGCCACTTCACCGGACTCCCACACAGTCACAGAAATCCATAATCAGCAGTGGGCCTTCGTAAGGACAAGCCCTCAACCAGAAGCTCTTATATACTTAAACATGATACTGGAATCCAAATGTTGTTGCAGAACACACATGACTATTTTACCTCCTGCAATTTAGAGTTTAGTGTATACAGAGATGTGGGAATGGGAGTTCAAGGGCCCACACGGCCAGTGTTTTCCCAGAGTAACCACATCATGAAGGGATGCTCAGAAACAAGTCTATCCGAAGCCTTTGCTAAAACAGCTAAATCCAATGCAGAGGATCCCCAACTTCATGATATTCTTAGCTGCTGGAAAGATCAGAGGGCAGGAGCAGGCACGGAGGTCATTAGACTAAGCTGGCCTCTGAGCTATGTTCTGAAGACCCTGGACTCACTGTTTAGATACTCTGTCTATCCTGCTGCTGGAAGGAAGAACAATCAATTCTATCCCTCACCTAAATTCCTGTCCTCTCTCACTTCATCACAAAATGTCAATGAGACTGGCATCTCAATTTAAAGTATAACAACACAGAACCTGACAACTTTACTAACTCCGTTTTTAAGAAAGAGGCGTCACAACATCCTTTGCCTCTAAACACTGTTTCACTCCTGTGTGGGATGAAACATACCAGGAGTTAACTAATACATACAGGCAAGTGTCACGTTTCTCCAGGCCCCATTTCATGGCTGGGAAAAAGAGCAGAGGCTGCAAAGGCATCCTTTCAATGAAGAGAACCCACTGCTAAACAAGTATGGATGGTCTTTTGGAGAAGGTAACCCAGAAGGCTGTTTCCTTATTCTGGTGGAGATGCCTTGCTCAAAATATTTTTGGAAACTTCCTTTATCACCGGACAGCTGTTGCTCCACCTTGACTGTAGGTAAATTTACATTCACTTATATACAATCACATATATGTACACGTGTGTGGATACATGCATATGCACACGCAGAGCATTGCTTGGTTTTAAATCTAAAACTATATTAACCACGCAAATCAAACCTTTTTGCCTGAGTTGAGCCAAGTATTTTTATAGCTGAAGGCGAAGAACACTGTTACTCCTCCAAGCTTGTTTTCCTATCTCCCATGGAAACAGAGCTTTAAATTGTAGTTTCTTGCATGGTTACCCAAAGACTGCATTTTCCTGCCTTCTCTGCACAGTTCTGGCGGACAGGATGTGAGCAGAAATGTCACACTGGCTTTTTGGACCTTCCTTTTAAAAGTGGGAGCCTGCTGAGAGCCTCCTCATCCACTGCCTGGAGTGAGGAACTGATGGCTGATACTAAAGCCCTCTTCATCTAAGGGTCAGAAAGACAGGCATAGCACCTCCAGAGAGGACAGCTTCATTCGGGCAGCTGAACACACTTAGGTAATGTCTGAGTCTACCATTGTTTTATTGCCAAATAGACGTGGAAAGTAAGTTTCTACATGAAACTAGATTGTCTCACACCATCCACAGGATACCCAGGTACTACTGAGAATTCAAATAAACACACACAGAATACTCAAATAAAGAAGACAGAAAGGAGAGACAGAGAAAGCTAGAAAAATTCCCATCCAGGATAAAACCTAAAAGCCAACTGAAACAAAGGCCTGTTTTGAGACGTACATGGCTTTCTTTACAGTAGTAGGAGAGGGCAGGAAATCGCCGTCTGCTCCGGAACTTGGAACTGCCCATGATGATATGTGCTGTGGCTGATTTGGGAACGTACAGTTCCGTGGGGTAAGAGTCACAAACCTGTCACCAGGAAACAGAAAGGTATGATGAGGCAATCAAACATTACACTGCAAATGGACCCCAGAAATCCCATTTCGACATGCCTGAAGGCTGCAAATCTTCGCTTTCCTAATCAAGTTACAGAGGGGGCTGTTTCATGGAAACCTGAAGCCACTCTGAGAAGTGAAGTGCTGCCGAGTCTGTGACAAATCCTGAGGGAACGCAGAATAACTGAGAACACCACGTCACTGTGCAGTGTCCTTCTCTCCAAAGGCTCTTTACATGGGGAAGACAGTTTTTCATCAACTCTGCATCCTAATGGCTGAAGAAACATTAGCCCCCTATGTTTGACTGGCAGCCTGTGTGGGGACAATTTCCGAAAATGTAGTCACAGCAGTTACATCCTCAGGTCACCTCTGTGTCCCTGGCACACTGTGTACTTCTTTGGCCTTCTCTGAACACCCCTGCCCCTGGTCTTCCCAGGTTCCTTCCATGCTCCCCCAGCCTACCCAGTCCCACCTTCTTTCAGGAAATCTCCTCCCAGGTCCTCCCCTAGGAAGATTTGTAGATAGGACTTCACAGTGCACCTCCCATTACAACACAATGTACCAGCTTCATCTGTGTTTCAAGTGTGTTGATTTTATAATAGTAAAAGATTTGCTCCCCATGGGACCTGGTGCCTTGGAGGATCATAGGATTGAGAATCAGAAATCAGCTGCTTGGTACATGGTCTGGCATTTGTGACTCTGCAACCTTGAAGAGACAAACTACACTGGATGCTTTGGTTTTTCTGATCTCCAAAAGTGATAGTTTAGTAATGATATTTTAGGGGGTGGACAGAAGAAACAATCCGATAACAGCCATGACAGAGCACTTTATAAACCAATGGAGCCAAAAGAAATGCCAGCACTTGGCAATGGTGTGTGCTGCTGGCTGTCGGTGTTTGGTTTTTCCATCAGTCAATCCATCAGATGGCAGTTTCCTGGGCTTCATCAAGCAACTGTTTTCTTCCTGGAAGTCAAGCATCTTTGGAGTCATAGCAACGGAATCCACGTGGGTGTAACAACAGGGGTAATACTGTATCTACGGATCCTCTGGCCAGCTCCACCCACTCTTAGCACATTACAAGTCGCCACTGAAGGGAATGAGAAACCACATGAGAGTCCTCAGCCTCCTGTCAAGACGCCGTCTATCCCTGCCTGCCTCCACTAACTCTCTTAACCAGACAGCGCAAAATTATGGAGCAAAAGGCCAAAACAGGAATAACCACAGGTCCAAAGCGTCATTTCAATCTCAGGTGGGCTCATACTCTCAAGGAAAGCCCTGTCCCAGAAGTGGAGAGTCCAGCCTAGTAGGACCCAGACAGCAAGAATGAGGCCACAGAACATTGCACTTCCTTCCTGATTCCAGCCTAGTGTCTGACTCTGTCTCATGCAAGCAAGCTCTAGAATATTAATACAAACCACTTCTGCTGGCCCATGGGTCAAACATGTGATCACCCAGCAGACTGTCTGTCATATGCTGAAAATGACCAGTTTTGAAAGGAAGTAAGTTTTCAGTAAACTGAGGAGTACCTAGCTCTTCCTAATAACAACAATACGAAGAAACTGAAAGGTTTAATGGCTAAGTGGAATAACAATCTGTACTAGGGAAGATTTTCCAAAATACCTCACATAGCTTCTGGAGATCAAGAGGAAAGTGAAGGACCCTGCAGCTCCTGAAGTTCTCCCAAGGCCAGAAAATATCTAGTGTGGTCCAGGCCACACCACTGTGTACCCCATGGCTGAAATGATAGTAGAGAAGGAGAGAGCCCAACCCCAAACTCCAAGGCTGTCCTGCTGTCTCTGCATTAGCGACTGCACAAGGCAGACACCACCTTCTAGAACAGCAGAGCCAACACTCTCAGAGGAGATGGTGGACCTTCATTTCCGATGCAAAGGTCAAAGCTCCCCTACCCGGGCCCAGTCAACAATCTCCTGGCTGGCAAGCTGGCTGACACAACTCCGTCTCTTGAACACAGCTCTATTAAAGGAATCTTGCTTCTTCAGAGCACTGAGCCCTAGTCTATGAGCCAAGTAATTGGCATTCTGATGCATTTTCTAGTAGGATCTCCAACATGCTAAAGCAACTGCTAAATCAATTAATGACGATAACACCCTCAGGCTTCCAGTGCCATTTAACTTGAGTTCTAATCACTATTTTTACATAGCTGAAAGAATGAGATATATCCTCCTTTTAAAGCAGGCATCACTCTCAAGTGAAAACTGAGAGTCCTATCCTGAAAGCTACAAACACTTCTGAAGAAATTGAAGACACAAATGGAATGATACTTGAATTCCTATATGAGAAGGCCCAATATGGCTACAATGTCCCTACCCAAAGCAACCTACAGACTCGAGGCAATCTTATCAAAGTCTCAATGGCCATTTTTTCAGAAATACAAAAATTTATCCTAAAACTAATATGCATTCTAAAGAGACTCCATATAATCAAAACATTTTTTTTTAAGAACAAAGTTGGGGATTTCTACATCATAATTTGAAGACAGGTTAGGCAGCCACAGATATCCGAGGAATATGAAGATATCATAAAGACAAACAGAGAAACAAAATGCAGGGCTTGTGAATAAACCTCACACACAGCTGTGGACCCTAACAAGGGACCAAAACTGTTCTTGGAAAAAAATGGCTTCTTATCTGGTTACTGAAAAACTTAGAAATGTCCACCTAAAGTAAAAAGGTGAGCCCTTAGCCCTTACACAAAAATGAACTCAGTATGGATTAAAGGTATAAGTGCAGGACGCAAAAAAACTACGAGGAATCACTTCATGTTAAGATCTGGTTTTCATTTCCTATGGATTATGGTAAAAGTGTAAGCACTGGAGAACAAAAAAACAAAACTACATTGCACATTAATTTTTATGCATCCCAGGAGCAACCAAAAGAATGCAAAGACAACCAAACAAATCAGGGGTTTACTCTCCAGAATACAGAAAGAAATTTATGTCAACAAATCAAATGCCTTGGCTAAAAACAGGCAGGAGACTTGAACACCCTCAAGACGTTCACAGTCAGCACACACAGGAAATGATGGTCAGAAGCACTAACTACCCTGGCAGGGAAACGAGTATTCACTACACTGAGAAAATGCCGCACAACTCAACTGTTAGGCTGGCCACTGCAAAGACAAAGCCAAAAACAATTGCTGGCAAAGAATTGTACATGCTGCTGAGACTCTAAAGCAACGCAAGCACAAGAAACACAGTAGGAAAGTCTTTGCAGCGTTTAAAACGCAATCACTACATGAGGCAGAAACCTCACTCTGGTAAATAAGCGTATGAGTAGGGAGACTGCAGAGGTTCACAGGGCCCTGCTAGAAGCAGCACTGCTCCTGGGGGCCAAGAGACAAACACAGCTCCCAAATCCATCAGCGGAAGGATGAACAAATGCTTCCTGTTCACGGTGGACCTCCGTGCACCCTAAATGGAAGTAAATGCTGCCATATAAGCCAATAGAATCACATGAGAGATAACACTGCATGCTTCTTTTTCACGTGCAGCATCTAAAGGAGTCTAATTCATTAAAATGGGAAGTAGAACGCTAAACACAGGCCGAGCAGAGAGGAGAGGGGAGAATTACTGTGTAAGGCGAGCTCTGGAGTTCAGTCGCACAGCAATGTGGCTTACTGAGCTCTATTAAGCGCACGCCTGAAAATGACGAAGGTGGCAAATTTGGAAAGAAATGCTGCCAATCTTAGAAATCTCACGGCTGTCACTTTTACAACTAGTTCACAGAGTTGTAATCAAAATCCCGGTAACGACGAATGCGTTGCACAATATAATTTATGCTACTACATTTTAAAATTCCTCAGGAATCACCTGACATTTTTGGCTGGTTTTGAAAATCAAAAGGAAAAATTTAGAGAAAATGGGAAATGTTCACAAGACTGAAACATGTTTTTCTCTTGCTTTTTACTTCTGACTTGACTTTGTTAATGAAACAAGTTGGGCTATTGTTTATGAATAAGAAAACATTTTTTGTCCTCACTAAATAAATTAGCCTGCATTTCTCACTAAATTAGCCTGCCTTAAAGGCCCATGTGTATCGGTGGGGTCTTGCCCTAAGGAATCTTTTTAGGTAACTCCTGCGTTCAATCATTAAGCTGCTACCACGTCCTTACTTTATTACGGGAATTACTGTTAGACCCAGGCAGAAATGAGTAACAGAGAGGCAGGCCATGAAGATGTCACATTCTCAGAACTGGTCCCTACTGCCCTGGGTACCTTCCGGTAAATGTATTTACCTATACAGATCATATCCACTCAAGATGCTATCCAAGGTGTCTGAGTCAGACGCAGATGGGCAGCTTCTTGTCGGGAACTGAGGTACATCTACACAGAAACACTGGCCATATAACTTACTTCGAGGAATTTATGACAAAGGGTATGAGCAACATAAAGTAATTTACAAATAAAAGATAACATGGTAAGATTTAGCTGTAGGGAACTGGAGTAAACAAGTCTGATTGAATAGATGGTTTAGATCATATTTTAAGTTATATTACAAGGAAGATTGAATAACTTTTCCCCACTTCCAGGAACTGAACTTGGGTTCTCGGAATGCTGGTCAAGTGCTCTACCACAGAGCTACATCCCCAGCCTGACTAAAATATTAACCGTGTAGTAGACACCAATTACTTTACCTGAATAAAGGTAATCTCAGGGTTGTGTATAAAACAGAACGTACTTCGGGAGTTAGGCTGCCATGAGCAAGTGCCACATATCCTGGCTCATGCGGCGTTAACATCAGAGTTGACAGTGACTGACCTGCCCAAGACCACACAATCAGAGCACAGCAGAACTCTTCTGACATCACCTCCATCACTGGCAAGTTCCTCTGGGCCACCCAAGTATAAAATAACTCATAAAGCAAGAGGGAAAACACATATTTTTCTTAATCATAAGGTCATGAAGTGGATTAAGATGGAATTTTCCTCAATGGATAGCTAGCCAGAACTTACTA